CACCCACCTGTCCATCCATCCATCTCTCCATCCATCCCTCCATCTGTCCACTCATCCACCCACCTATCCACCGTCCATCCACCCATCCACCCACCTACCAGTTCATCCATCCATCTGTCCATCCATCCACCCACCCACCCACCCGTTCATCCACCCATCCACCTCTCCATCCATCCCTGCACCTGTCCATCCATCCACCCACCCATCCATCCATCCACCCACCTCTTCATCCACCCACCCACCTCTCCATCTGTCCCTGCACCTGTCCATCCGTCCACCCACCTGTTCATCTATGCCCTTGGCTGTCCCTCCATGCACTTGTCCTCATCCACCCACTCACTCGAAGATCCATTCTTTCTATGCATTTAGCTGTCCACCCAGATATATGGCCACACATCCACGTTCCTAGTTGTCCGTCCGCACACCTCACCACCCATGCAGCCATCTGTCAGGTCATTTGACTATCCATCCAACTATCCATGCTCCCAACCTTCCATCCACACACTATCCACAATTCATTTGACCACCCATGCATCCATTCACTTAACATCCCTTCATCTGTCCACAAACTCAGCTGCCGATCCACATATTCAACCACCTATCCATGTGTCTATCCATCCATCCACCTGCTCCACCAGCTGGTCATCCAGCCAGCCATCAGCATACCCAACTGGACCACCAAGCCAAGCATGCAACCACCAGCCACACATCTGGCCATCCTCCCCCCAACAGCAGTTAAGACTCAGCCACTGGCCCTATAAAAGCTCCCCTGAGTCTAGGCTGTTCCCACGTATCATGCCAAAATTCACTGTCGGTGAAAGGAATGGGCATATGGACACGTCCACATGTGTGTCACATGGGGTGATAAGGACTGAAAGATGTTGGTACAAATTACAGGCCAGGTGCTGTGGCTCACACCTGTAATCTCAGTACTTTCGGAGGTCGAGAGTTCAAAACTAGCCTGGTCAACATGTTGAAACTTGGTCTCTACTAAAAATACAAAAAATTAGCCGGGCATGGTGGAGGGCACCTGTAATCCCAGCTATTCATGAGGCTGAGGCAGGAATGAGTTGAACCTAGGAGATGAGGTTGCAGTGAGCTGAGGTCGCTCCACTGCACTCCAGCCTGGGTGATGGAGAGTCCATCTCAGAAAAACAAAACACAAAATTACAAACTTCAGGGGCAGTTAGAGCAGCTGACATAGCCAGGATTTACGGTCAGACTCTGCGTTTAGTATTAGATTCTTGCAACACTCTGAGGCTCACACTCTAAGTATCCCTGTCTGACTGGCAAGAAAACTAAGGTCCACAGATGAAGGCCCTCACAGGCTTGTGCAGGGCACCTGCTGGGCACGGAGTTCTGAGCTCCTGACCGCCCCCGCCTCTGCATCCTCAGATGGAGGAGGGGAAGGGCCTCAAGGAGGAACAGCGGTGCTGGTTGGAGAGGACATGGGCGTTGGTAGGTGTCTGGGGATGGCTGCATGTGGTGGAAGCGGCAGGAGAGGTGTGCGGCGGAGCTGGGATGGGGCTTGGCACCATATCAGACAGCAGGGAGCCAGCGGATGTTCTGGAGCAGGAGGTTATGGTAGGAGCTGACAGGAAAGAGTCTGGGGCCAGGAGGCTGGGGAGAGGCTGGGCAGGGTCCGGGGGAGACAGGCCGAGAGCCAGGCAAGGGAGGAGAAAGGTGAGTTCGAAGGCCCTTGGAGGTGGTGCTATTATTCCCACTGGATACGTGAGGAAAGAGCCTCCAGGGAAGCAACACGTCTGGGGAAGTGGGTGGCCCGTCAAGGCCCCCACACAGCCCCTCACTCCCATCCGAGACCAACCACGGGGCAACGTGGCCTGTTCTCATGTGACTATAATCCCAGATTCCCAGGGAGGGGATCTCCGTCAAACGGGAGCGCAGGCCGGGCACAGTGGTTTATCCCTGTAATCCCAGCACTTGGGAGGCCAAGGCTGGTGGATCACCTGAGGTCAGGAGTTCACGACCAGCCTGGCCAACATGGCAAAACTCTGTCTCTATTTTTAAAATATATAAAAATTAGCCGGGCGTGGTGGCGGGTGCCTGATGTCCCAGCTATCAGGGGCTGATGCAGGAGAATGGCTTGAACCCAGGAGGCGGAGGTTGCAGTGAGCTGAGATTGTGCCACTGCACTGCAGCCTGGGGGACAGAGCGAGACTCCATCTCAAAAAAAAGACAGGAGCTCTGGCTAAGAGGGCAGACAGATGCTGTGTGCTAGTGTCCCCCCGGACCCACAGCAGACCCACGATAAGGGCACCCCAGGGGCACAGCACAGACGGCCTGGCCTGTGGGACCCTTGCCAGGGCAGGCAGTGGGATTTCCCGGGGCCTCTGCTCAGCCAGCTGTCCTGTATTCCAGGAGGCCTCAGTGGCGGGACCGAGCAGAGGAGTAGGGCTGGGGACCCTGTGGGAAGCTTCCCCATGCTTCCCTGAGGACCCTGTGATGGCCCAGCCACAAAACAGTCTTTGGGGATCTTATTTCTCTAACGAAGAGAGGAATTACATGTGGAGCAAGAACCAAAGACCTGGAGCGGCTGGCCCAGGGGCTGTCTCCAGCGCACCCGAGTGATGCTGGCTCACACCTGCTTGCAGAGGGAAGTCCTCACCCCAGAGAGTGCACACTTCCGCATTCGATGAAGCTTTGGCTGCAATTCTAACAAATATTCCCTTGCTGTGTGTCAGTAATGAGGGCAACAGGAGGGAGAGAGAGGGCCCCACCCTCACAGACCTCAGAGTCCAGCGAGGGCAGATTCCCGAACAGCCAGCAGACCTCCAGCCGAGCAAAACAAGCAGGGCGTGGAGGGAGGGAGGGGAGCAAGGGGGGCACTGGTTTTAAAGTTGTTTAGAACATAAAAGCCATTCGATGAAGGGTCCCCAGCTCCTGCCCCC